AGAACAGGTGTCATTGAGAGGGGCTTTGATCCCCTGTCACTGATGGCAGCAGATGCGGTACAAGAGTGTGATCAGGAGAACAGCGGCACAAACAGGGCCCGCCGTGACCTCGCTGAAGAGATCGAGATGTACATGAATAATGGCAACAGCCCTCTGAGCAGTCGCACACCCAGCATGGACCTGCAGAACCCCTCGAGCCCTTTGTTTCACCCTGCCTCATCTCCTCACACCTCCCCGCGACCCTCCACCCTGCTCCGCTCTAGCACACACCTCCCGTTGCCTGTGAAATCAAAGGAGAGGCTGAGGCCGTCGCCGTCTCTTCCTCTGGGTGTCTGTACAAAAGACAGGGAGAGACCTTCCTCCTTGGTGTCACCATCCTCACCTACTCCCTCCTCCTCATCGTTCTCCATGGACTCACTGTTTACCCCGACTCTGGACATCTTCAAGAGCAGCGTCATATCAGCAGGGAAGGGCGTGGCTGAGAAGGCCAGTCGCCTCTACTCTCGTCTGTCCTCCCAGACTTCATTAACACAGGTTGGTAGTGCAGTATTTTCCCCGAAATAATATTCCCAATATAACTGCTACCATGACAACAATGATTTTTTTTCTTCCTCCTCTCCTGCAGGATGCAAACTGTGACCGGATTAGTGTATCCTCACTGACCTCAGGAGAGGCAGACTGCTCCTCACTGCTTGATAATGACTCCTGTCTGGACCCAGATGGCTTCACCTCCCCCCAGCATGGCAGCGTTTCCCGACTCAGGAGGAGCCCAGTTGTGGGTCATAACAACCTGGGAAGCCCCAGCACGCCCAACAGAGTGTTCAGACACAACTCCTTCTCTGGTGTGTTGCACATCCTTTAATCTGTCTGCTTGGCAAATATTTCTGGAACGAAGCTGCTTGTTCTAGTTAGAACCTTGAAATGTTTGCTTTACATGAACAAAACAATCCACATTTATTTAGAGTAGTTGTCAGCCTTTATGAAAGCATCTCTACTGTGTAGAAGTCATGGCTTACAGCTCTGCTTGTTAAATTTCTGTTTTAACTGCAGTGTTGTAATGGTTCCTAGCAAAACACTTCTTGACGATCTAAATTTAGAGTAAGAGGGCTCGGTAATGGAGAGCGTTGGGTGTTGTTCTGTGCGAAACTAGGCCAGCAGGCGTGAGGGCTGATTCAGTGTGTAGGCTGTTCTGCACCCAGCCACAGGCCCTAGTCTATACATAAACATGAGAACATGCACACGTGCATGCACACTCACGTGCACACTCTCAGATACACCAATGTGACACACAGATTTGCTAAACCTGCACTGAAAAAAGGAGAAAAAGTCCAATAATTGTTCACGTTAAAGAACAAGTTGCTGCTTCTTTTTGTTTTTCCACTTTTGCTGTATCAAATCCAGATACAGCTTTGACAGTTGTGTGAAATCTTGGCTTTGTCTCGTGTGTCTAATTGTATAATCCTCCCTCGTATCCAGGTGGTTTGGCACTTCCTTTTAAACCCCCTCACACTCCAGATTCCTCCCCCGACACCAGCCGCTTCCAACCCACTCCCAATTACACCATGGAGGTAAGCTACTCTCGTGTAAAAATCCCTTATCAGAGGCTCATCTGTAGAATGACTCACACTATCATGATTGAGTGTTAAACTATGTTTGCTGCTTTTGTTATAGGTGCTGATGTCCAGCTGTTCACTATGTAAGACATGTGACTGTCTGGTGTACGATGAGGAGATCATGGCTGGCTGGACAGCAAACGACTCCAACCTCAACAGCACTTGTCCGTTCTGCGGCACAGCCTTCCTGCCTTTCCTTAATGTGGAAATCAAAGACCTGAGACCACAGAGCAGGTAAATGCTCCCCTCACACAGACCGGTGTGTATACTGCATATATTCGCATAAAGTACAGAAACGCTTTGAACAATTATTAAGCAGCTTCTATTATTTCACACTGAATTTGCTGATAATATGAGGTCTAATGTCTTTGATCTCTGGTGCTATTGGTCTATTGTAAAAGTGTCCTGCTAGCTGGCACTTTTCTGAAAAAGCCTGACACACACACACACACACACACAAGGTCTTTTATCCCTGCGGCCTCTTTAAACAGATCCACTCTGTGTCTCCCCTCAGGTCTTCTAAGGAAAGTAATCCTGTTACTGAGGAGGTCACGTCACCGTCCCTCAATCCCGAGGCCAAAATGTCTGCGGCAGACTGTGCAGCTCAGTCATCTGCAGCTCCCCCGCAGGAGCAGGAGAGCAGCAGGAGTGCTGGGCCTGCGCCAGTGACAGTGCCCTACCTGAGCCCTCTGGTTCTGTGGAAGGAGCTGGAGAGCCTGCTGGTAAATGAGGGCGACCAGGCCATCTCCTCCCCGAGTGTCGTCGACCAACACCCAATTGTCTTCTGGAACCTCGTGTGGTACTTCAGAAGGCTGGAGTTGCCGAGCAACCTGCCGGCTCTCATCCTGGCCTCCCAGCACTGTAGCCATGGAGACCAGGTAAACATGCAGGTGTCTGTCAAGCTCCCCCACAGACCGCTGTGTGTAGATTGATCCATAAACCGTAAAGGCATCATTTATCAACTCTGTTAAATACACTTTTCCACTTTGCTGACATGAGTTAGATGCAAATATCAATACCACTCTCATATCTGTATGAAGCCGGGCCAAGTGAGTGGTATTGATCTTCTCATCTGATTCTGGGCAAGAAAGTGTGTTTCCCAAAATGTCAAAGTATTCTTCAAACCTCCTACTTGTGTGGAAAAAGAATCAAACTTTGGTGACTCCTAGTGGTAGTTTGAATAATAGACAAAACAGAGCAATGCATAAGAGCAGCACTTACAATTTTCACTAGGAACATCTCTTTATTTTTTTTTTTACTTTTTGCACGTATTAAAACTAAATAAAATTAAAATTCTACAATAAGGGCTGTGACATACAGAGTAAGGGATTAATATGCCATGTGTTTTACCCCTTACAGACTCCTCAGAGCGTTTCATCCGAGGACAGTAAGCAGGTGCTCGTGAGGATCATGTGGGACAACCTGAAGTTGCACAAAGACAAAGTTCAACCCTGCTATGTCCTGTGGAACACACATTGTAAGTCACTAAAGCATTTACTTTAACTGAGTCTGAGGTATAATACGGTTCAGAAGGTGAAATTATTTTCAGAAAATGATTTTGCCGGCAAGTTTGATCAAGGTCAGATATTTACATGTAAATTGAATAATGCATATGAAGTAACTAGAAAATCATGCATAATTCAGTACAGGCCTCCCATTAGTCATGCCACCCTTAACAGTGCTATACTTTCAGAATTGATTTGGAGCGATGGAGATGAATGAGCCTTTGATCAGGGTGACTTTTATCTTTTGTTCTTTGCAGGTGCAAACTCCCTGGTTCGCTCCGGGCTGTGCGAAGAAGGCCAAGTCTTCACTGTGGAGCTACTGCAGGGTTTTGTGAGGAGCATTAAGAAGAGTGATGTCTATCAGCCCATGAGCCAAATCATCCAGCTGCTGGGGCCAGAGATGGGCTTTAAGAGACAGAGGTGAGGAAATAAAGAGTTTAGTGAGAAGCTGTTTGTAAAAGGTGATACGGATGGAAAATCTAATCGATTTAATTTCTTCTTCTTTTCCCTCTCTCTCTGAAAAAGGAGCCTGTACAGAGATTTGTTGTTCCTTGCTTTGGTGGCTTTGGGAAAGAACAATATAAATATCAGTAAGTACAAAAGCATCCTGTTTTTATGCTCGCTGTTTGTGTGAGGCTCAGTCTAACACTTAAATCCAGAGTGAAATATCTCAACAACTGTTATATGGATTGCCATGAAATCTGGTACAGCTATCCATCGTGCCTAGAAGATGAATCCTACTGACTTAAGTGAATCCCTGACTTTCTCTCCAGTGCCACCAGCATGTCAAAGTTTTTATTTATCCTATCGAATATCTCAACATTTACCAGATAGACTGGCACAAAATGTCTCTTCTAAGTCTGAAGATGAGCATCAGCTGGAAACTTCACTTTGAATAAATTAAAATATGAATTGCACTTCATGGAGCTTAAGTGTGCGGACCTTTCTTCATGTTTTTTACAGACAATTATGCCCCACACAGGATGAATTATAATCATGTTTATGACTCCCTGACTTTTCATCTAGAGCCATTACCTGGTCAAAAATTTTAATTTGTCCAGCACTTGGCTTTTAAAACAAATACCTGCATAACCTACTATGTTCATCAGCCTCAGCTGTACTTTGACTTTAATGCTTAAATAGCAAATGTTAGTATGCTAACATGCTAAACAGAGATGGTAAATATTACATCTGCTAAGCGTCAGCATGTTAGCATTTACACTGCGAGCCTGTTAGCATGCTGACATTTACCACTGCACTTTAGTACAGCCTCACAAAAGCACAAGCACAACTAATCAGATCTTTTACTGTGCTATTAAAGCTATTTATAGGCATTATTTACAGATTTTTATTCCACATTTTAGCTCTTTGGTGTATTTATTTGTTTGTATGTTGTTGTATGTTACCGTGTTTCTCTGCACACCAAGCTGCTTTTAGCTAATTGCCCCTAGTGGGATAAAAAAGTTGTCTTGAATTTGAATTGAATAGTCTTGTTTTTTATACAGAAGCTAGAAGAGTTATTTTCTTGCTTTACCAAACAGTGACATAATATCACATTGTTCACTAACCTTTACCTCTCTACCTCTTTGCAGATGCTTTTGACCGGGAGTACAAGCTAGCATATGACCGCCTCACCCCCAACCAGGTTAAACTGACACACAACTGTGACCGTCCCCCCGGAGCAGGGGTCATGGAGTGCAGGAGGACTTTTGGGGAGCCTGGTCTGTAAAGTACTTCTCTTCTTCCGTCCCATTATGTTTTTCCTTCACGGTCACTGCTGCTGGGTTTCTTCTGTTTGTTTGTTTTTCGGACTGCTCCTTAGACTCAGGACCAGCTCACCTGACTGGAGCGCAGAGCTCTCAAGCACAACGGGACAATGACACTTAATGTAAAGCAACTGCCATGAGTTTCTAGTATACTGTTAGAGGCGTGGAGTGACAGCCTTGTGTTTGTAAATATTTAGAAAATCCACTGTATTTTCAGTATAACTCCAGTAAAATGTTTGTACAGTTATTATACAGTCTATTTTATGACTTTGTTTCTGTTGAAGCTGTGAGTAAGTACGTAAAAGTAAGTGTATGATCATCACATTGTCCAAATTTATAAGTGGTCCTGGCGACCTCGTTCAAGACTGTTGTCGAGTGTGTGTATACTAAGTACATGCTTTTAGACATTTGTGTTTTTACAAAGCACTTTGACAAGATGAGCTCTTGCCACTCATTTTCATTTATGTAACGCTGTGGCCCGGCCACCTTCGCTTAAGTGACTTTTTATTTGGCAGCTGCAGAACTTACTGCACTGTTTAATAGTCCCATTACATGCAGTTAATGGAAGCAAAGAAATTCCTCTTCATCTGCACCCTGTTAATATAGCAGGACCATGCTCATATGCCTGAATACACTAAATTAAATGGTTACATAAAAAAAAATATGAACTTCTGATTCAACAAGGGAGAACTCAGTTAATGTAAATGTATAATGTTTGTTTATTACTCCTTTTTTTGTACAATGTACCAAAATAACCTAAAAGGGAATCTCATGATTTATTTAGTTTTTTTTAAGCAATATCTTTTTTAATGTGAGGACTTACGAGTTTTTTGGGACCACCAAGGATAGATGTCCTTAAAAACAGTACAATCAAACTAATAGATGAATAAAAACTGAAAATAAATGTTTTCTGTTAGTTAAATCGACACAATTTTTGATAAAGAAATTAATTTATTGACACAGTAATTCATCTATAAAAATGTACAGAGTATTTGATTCTAGTATTTTGTATATTTCCTTCTGGTCTTCACTGTATGGTGTACATGTCAGTTTTGGACATTTGTACAGCAATGCACTGTTTAATGTGAAATACAGAGCAAAAAAAAGAGGACATTATAAATCTCTTTGGACAGATGATGGCGCAGGTTTCTTTGCACTGAGCATATTAAAAGATTAATTTGAAAGGTGTTAAGTTAGGAGAACAGCTCTGACCTGCCCTGCTTCAAAATCATGTCCAAAAATGAGTGTGATGGTTCACTGTGTTAATATTGTCTCTCACTTTTAACTGACAAAAACCTGCCTACATTCTGTTCGTACGGTACAAATGTGACGCAGCTTCACGGTTTATTACTGGACTTCACCACAGTTATTTATGGTGACACGATGCTGGATTAGACGAGGCTGTGTGCTTGGAATAAACACCAATATCACAGCATGTATATTTGCATTTTATTCACCTTATAATGTGTGACAAAAACAAACAAAAAAACACTGATGACCAAAACATTTGATGTCTACATGTTGTTTACACAATTTGTCAATTAAAACAATGTTTATGATGTATTATTTATCATTTGTAACACAGATACTAATTTGTATGATTTTTATATGAGAAAGAAATCAAATTTCTTCCCTGGCTGGATCTATAGTTTGCTTTCATTTATGAATAAACACGTTTATTCTACGGATGTCACGTCTGATTATTTCCAAAGTGCTATTGCCACGACTGACCTTTTTATTTATTTATTTTTTTATAAAAACTGATTAAGTTCAAGCAAGCTCAGGTTCTCTATTAATAAATGTTATAAAACGGTTGTTGGTGCACAGATTTGTACAAAATTTACATGTAGAAACTTCATACATTTTGCAAAATGTTCACATATTCTAGATTTCTAATTGCATTCTGAAGATGCTGTTTTGTAAACAGTAAAAAAAATGGTCATATCCCTGTTAGTGTTCATTCATTACACTTACCTACACTACTTCAGACAGTTTGCATCTCCTGATGTAATCAAATAATTTATGTAAAAGCTGCCATTGTTACTAAAAATAAAAAGTTCTAAATGTTCTAAATGTTATAAAGTTATAAATGTTCGTCCAATATGAGATGAGATAAATACAACAAGACAGGACAGAAACATATAAAATTCATTCTGCTTTGGTTGCTGTATACTGTAAAAGTGGAATGTCAGCACTACTTCTTTATGATTAAGTTCAGTCACACTTGTTTTAACAACAAAAACATATATAAATTAAAAAAAATCACAATTTTTGTAAATGTAATGTATTATTACTATGTTGTTAAGAAGGCATTACATTTGTGAAGAGCGCATCATGACTTATTTAGGAACCAAAACTCAGAGTTTAGGATTTGGGTCTTGACTTGGGACTTGAGTGCAAAGATGTGAGACTTACTTGTGACTTACAAAACAATGACTTGGTCCCACCTCTGCTAGAAAATGTTGTCATATGTGTACTGTTGCTTTCATACCAAACACACGTCAGTTGCAACAATGCAGAGCAACTACAGCAGCTTTCTGCATAGTTTCTACAGATATCCACACCCATGCTCATGAGATCAGTCCATATACAGGTTAACTGTTGTGCTTCAGGTCGCAAGTGAAGACAACGCCTGCTGTAGAGAAGGCTCCAGCTCACACGTTCAGATAGAAACAGGGCAGATGATGATGCGATCCTCCAGCATCACGCTAAGCACCAAGAAGATAAAGTAGAGCAGGAACATGGTGAAGCCCAACAGCTTATTCATCCTCCACCTACACGATGCAATGGAGATGATGACAAAGAGGAGCATGATGAAGAGAAGCACGATGGCACAGAAGAGCCCGTTGCTGCTGACGGCCACTGGACCAAAACCATGTGTGGATGAGTAAAGGAGCCATGGCACTGGAAGACTTTTGAGACAAAGAGACCAAGAAATGTAACAAACAAGTGTTCATCAGTATTTTTTTTCCTTAAAACGTGACACATCAGGTTTGGAGCTCACCCCACTGTGATATCAAAGATGTTACTGCCCACAGAGCTGGACACAGCCATGTCCCCCAGGCCTTTTCGTGCAACAATCACACTGGTAATGAGATCAGGGATGGACGTCCCTGCAGCCAAGATAGTCAGGCCCATAATCTCCTCTGAGATGCCGATGGTCTCACCTACCTACAAGAGCACACAAACTAGGGTTCAGAGCAGATAGAAGCTACAGACACGGAAAATTACTTTCATGTTTTAGTCAGCATGACTTATTCTTACTTTCAAAACATCAAACTTTTCTACATGTAACTAAAAAATCACAATTTCTGATGATGACTAGAATGGAGCCCGACTTGAGGTTCAAAGCCAGACTATCAAAACCAGATCTAAACTGATACAATGTAAATGGAATATGCCTAGATACATAACTCCCTCCCTGCTACATTGCTTTGATAATAATAATGTTGATTTATTTATTAAATGTGGCCTAGAAGAAGGTACTTTATTCCACTGCTGCCTTTGGAGCTGCCCCAAAATTTGTGTAAAGGTCAAAAAAACTATATCTGATATCATATTGGGTTGCCTGTCTGCCCTCGGGCATTTATCCTCAGACTACCTGAATTAATACTCATTCATTCATTTTCTGTAACCACTTATCATGTTGGGGGTCGTGGGGTTGCTGGAACCTATCCCACCTGTCACGGGCGAGAGGCGGGGTCAACATGACTGAGGCAAGACAGACTATCACAGGGCCGAAACACAGAGACAGACAACCATTCATGCTCACATTTACACCTATGGCCAATTCAGAGTCACCAATTAACCTGCATGTCTTTGGACTGTTGGAGGAAGCCGGAGTACCCGCAGAAAACCCACACTGGCATGGCGAGAACATGCAAATTCAACAATGCAAGTTCCCCCACCTTGGCTTTGAACCAGGAACCCTCTTGCTGTGAGGTAGCCATACTAACTACTGCAACACCGTACCACCAAGGATTAATACCGTCAGGTGCAAATAAAGATAATCACTTTATGCTCATGTCATATAATATTGTACTGCAACTGCCTCGAGAAGCACTGGGGCACCTACAGTTGGACATTGGTTTAAAATTGGTCTTGATAACTGTTAAGTCATGGAAAAACTGACTTATGCAGCTGAGGGGAAAATACAGAGCTTTTTTTATAATCGGGGACAATTTATTAAATATCATAAAAGTCAATCACTAAGATGTCTGCTGGATACTTGAAAAGAAAATGTTGTAAAAAGATAATGTACAATTATTCTGTATAATAGCTGAATAAAAATTGCAGGTTTTTGTTTTGTTCATATGTGCGTAGACCTTTATATGTAGTATATTTGTTGTGTTATTTCTGAAATCACAATAGATAAAATAAAATAAAATAAAATTAAATTAAATTAAATCAAACAAAATAGAATAAAATAAAATAAACCAATAAAAAATAAATTAAATTGAATTGAATTAAACAAAACAGAATAAGATAAAACAAATAAAAAAAAATAATTAAATTAAATTAGATAAATAAACTCACAATGATTTGTGCCTGTGCATACAATCATGAGACAAGACAACACATTTGAAATTCCATCTCTAAATGTTACTACAGTAACTGACCTGATGGGCCCACCACACCATGAGGTAGGAGAAAATAGCAATCCACAGAATGGAGCCCAGGAAGGTCATCGCAAAGAATTTTCTGGATTTCTGTCAGACATGTAAAAGCAAAAACCAATCACTGAGGCATTAAAGAAACCACAGCTGATCTCAGAGACGCGTCTGAGTCTTTACCTGGTTGCGAACATCTGGAACTGTGAGCCACAGAGGAAAGATTACAGGCAGCAGGAAGACGTAGGTGGCTTGTTTACGTGGCGTGTCAGGCCACTCTAAAGACAGAGGTTCCTCTTTCTCCTCTTCGTCACTCTCCTCCTCATCTTCATCCTCATCGTCATCATCTTCCTCTTCACTGGACTCATCGCTGTCTTCATCGCTGTCATCTTCATCATCGTCAGAGCCTCCTGACCCACCGTCTCCTGCTGGCACATCGTCCTAAAGTGTTGGGGAAAGAAATAATGGAACGACAGTAGAAGCAGAGGAGAAATAAAAGCAAAGACCAAAGAGGTGTTTTGCCTTAAGTTGTAGCTCTGTACAGTGACTCTTACATAGACAGCTATCAAAGATTGACTTCTGGGCTTTTTGAAAACCACCAGGATACAGTTGGAGAGTACCTTCTTGTCCTCTGGTTGTTCCTTCTCCTCTTTTGCTGGGGCTGGAGCAGCCTCTGGCTCTTTGGTCGGTTCAGTTTTTCCTCCACCAACTGTGAAAAGAATCCCAAAAATCTGGTGCATTTCTCTGATGCATCTGACTCATTAGGTTATCTGAGAGAACTCCCATGTCATGTTATATGCCTTTGGGACCGATCATGTCCGGAAATACAGTGAATGTGTTGCTAGGACTTACGTGATTATGAGATCATCTTCATGCCAACTGGACTGAATGAGCTCACTGTCTTCATCTACACTACCCTGTATCCAGTTCATATTTTACTACTGGTCATCCACTTGCAGTGTGCAGCAAAGCAGCTATTGATTATGCTAAAGTTAAATTTCCCTTTGGTTGCAATACTAATATACTTGAGGACATGTATCACTGACATCTAATCTCTCTGCTGTCACAGAACCTGTTTGACTCACTCAGGCCACATGCTGAAGTATTTCGGCTGGCTGCATGCTTTCTGCAGCCCGGATGACGATCAGCTTTCAGACTCATGAGCAGTCTCTGAAAGCTTAACGACTTGATCAGTGGATGACCATCACATCCCTCCATGTTACCTTCACTTTTGTCTTGAGTTTTGCTCTCTGCCGTCCGTTTAGCCACATTAGTCAGTGTCACAGCCTTATCCTTAAATTTCCCTATGAACAATCAAACAATCAAAAACAAACTTAGAGGAATTCTGTAGTGAGTCACTCAGTCATGTGATGATTACAGTAATTTCACAGTCATATGGAGAACAAATAAGCAGAGTTAGGCATGGAGCAAGAATACTGGCAGTGTAACATCAAAAGCAACAGCATCATAACCCTCACTGCAGCACAGAGCAATGTATGAGAGGAGGAGTGAGCTTGTCAAAGGAACTGCACACAAGAGACACTGCACAGTATTAGACAAGACAGGATCTGACTCTCTCTGGAAACCCATTATACTGTACATTATTTCCACTGCACCTCTGTCTATCAGAGACAACTATTTGTTTCAAATGGACAGAGATATTTAAAACAATTGCAGGAATATTTTGTTCTTGTTGATTAAATGTCTCAGAGTGAATACACCCATCTCAAGCAAGCATAATTTTTAGCAGAGGTCGATATAACCCTGCAGTACACAGTATCAAAACATCCATTTTGATATTACATTCAAAGCATTTCTTTTACTTTGGTGGCACAAAATTAAATAAGCCGCAAATATTTGTAATGTTGCTTTGGAGTGGGTTTAGAGGGGCTGACGGCTGTGATCCAGATTTCACAGGCTCATTCAGAAGCTGATTATTGTGCTGCAGTCGTGGAGTGTTTGCTGCCTGGAGGCCTGAGAGACGAGCAAACCAGGTGCCAGGGCCACAGGTACACAAACTGGGACATATTGTGCTGTGGTCTCGCCTCAGGCAACCAGAGAACAGGAAAATATGAGCATTGCTGTGAGATAATCCCAGTAAGGATCACCACAGCACGGTGCACCATTATAGAGCTACACTCGAAGAAATGATTTGACTAGTTTATATATTTCAGTTACATATAAAATGTCCAGCAAATTAAGTCAAGTAATTCTAACATAAACCAAAACTACAATTTATGTAAATAAATCAAATAAAACTGTGGTAAATAGACTATAAACAGTTTGTGTAGCTATAGCTCATATAATTTACCTAATTTCCTTAAATAAATGTAATTGTTTTATTATGTAATTACTGTCAATAACTTTATAACATATCAGGAAAACCTATGGTGGAAAGCTACGGGGTGCCTTTTGTAAAGTGGCTCACACTGAAATTAACAGCAACATTTTGCCACATTTAGCTTCAAACAATGTTTAAAAAAAGTGGTGTGAATTTTCAAGTCAACATTTAGATTTAGATTTAACATTTAGATTTTGATTTAGATTTAACATTTAGATTTGACATTTAACATTTAGATTTAGATTTAACATTTAACATTTAGATTTAACATTTAACATTTAGATTTATATTCAACATTTAGATTCAACATTTAGATTTAACATTTAACATTTAGATTTAGATTTAGATTTAACATTTAGGTTTAACATTTAATATTTAGATTTAACATTTAACATTTAATTTAACATATTTCAAATATTGCTGTAAATGTGGTAAAACAAAAGTGACTTTAAAAAATTCACACCAGTTTTTTAAACGTTGTTTGAAGCTAAATGTGGCAAAATGTTGCTGTTAATTTCAGTGAGCCACTTTACAAACGGCACCCCATAGAAAACCACTGGGAAAGCTGTGCAGGACCAGTCATTCCATCATCACATCGTAGTGAACAGATTAGATTATTTTTTGTTATCTGATTCAACAGAAATATTAACACTTTTTGATATGACTTTCATACAACAGAAGTTATTTAATAGTCATAAATGACTTAATAATTATTATGTATAAACCAGTCTTTTCTGTAGCTTTATGTGTCCTAAGAATCTTTTTCATATTTCACTGTGAGCCTACAAATGGATCCTCCATAGACTGAGGTAGGTATTTATCTGCTTAGTATCAATCTGGACTTAGTGCTGTCTTCATTTGGGACGCTTTGCTAATCCATTTCACTATGAGAAGGACATAGTCCCCAGAAACTCATTACAAGAGCACTTTTAATGAGCAAGCACTGGGGCGATCAATGTAGTGGTGATGATATGGTACTCACCCTCACCTAGAGGGTCTAACGTGTGGATCATAAGTTGGAAGATGGTGTTTCTCATGGTGCTGTTGTGTAGAGAAGCTGAACTTCCCCCGCGCTGAAGGGATGGCTTCAACTGGGGAAAAGAGATGGCTGAGGTCACGAGAGCTGCTCACAATAACACAGTGACTCATCAGTGTTAGACAATCATGTAGTAGTGGAGTCAGGCTTGTGTTTTTTTCTTGAAAATGTGCAGGCACTTGAAGGGAGGTGTCTTTTCTTTGTGTAGAAAGCTTCTATAGGATGTAGGATAAGGTAGATAAATGAGGAGTGTGAGGATATTGCTTTTTGTGTGTTTCTTCTTGCAGTTGATTGGTTGTTTGGTTGACTTTTACCTTCAACCTATTCTTGTCTTCTGAAGCAGGAGGGGCGTTATTTTCAGCGTCACCGTTTGCCTGCGTGCAACAATGTTTTTTTTAGTGATAATCATTCATTGGTAGAAACAGACCAAAGTTAATTCATTCATTAATTCGGATAGAGCTTGAATATCAATATATACAGCATACTATAATCTTATACATTGCTATGTCACATATTGCACACTCTGAGGGTCTTATTAGTGTTACACGTTACATGTCACCCCATCAAAATTATAAAACACAGTATAATATGATTATATGTGATGTGAACTTGCATTTTCAACAGATAAATAACTACATTTGCTCTTGAGGAACATACATCCAGCAGTATATCCAGCTCAACAAACACCCTGAGTGTGTGCAGATCCTGTAGCTTTACCCTTGTGTACAATAAGCCTCAATCACACTTACCAGGGTTATACGGTCACACCTACACAGTATATGTTGATGCTAGAGTTTGTAGAGGATTAGTCTGCTGTGGCTGATCAGCTTTGGTTCAACCAAGGTCTCTGCTGGTATCTTTTCACTCTTTTTACAAGATTTGCATAGAGCCCCCGCAGGTGGGAGTAAAGATGTCATAAGTGATGAGTAATGTGACTCTCTGTTTGAGTACAAACACACTGTGTGTAATGAGTGTAGAAGAATACAAAACTAAAATAGGCATGAGTGACAGGGCTAGTTTCAAACTTGAGAATATTTATCTGTTTTATGGACTGCCACTCTGACAGTATTACAAGATAACACCAGCAAAATGGTGTCAGTAAGTTGTTTTGAGGTATCACTAAATCTGCAAATGTGTAACTCATCAGTAGATATAAATTTGTCTTCATCTGCTATAATGTTCTTTAAATCTCCATACCTTTGTTCTCACTTACATACCACTGCCAAAACTTTGGGCTAATACTTGCAAACTGTTAGTAACTTTCAGAGTTCCTTCCACATCTGAGAAAACTCTGTGATAGACATACCTAATAAAAGACTCATTGTAATTGTTTCATGTAAAGTCTGATTTTAGACCAGTTGTGTTCTGTCACAGCAGTGCTTACCTTTTCAGGTTCTTCCACAGAAATAATTCTGACAATGTTCTTGTTTTTGAGGATCAGGACCTTGAAGGCCTGCTCTATTTGTACATTGAACTTCATGAAAGTCACATAGAGCGTGTAACAGCCAACCAACATCACGCTCTCCCACCACATTATGATATTATCCAAGAAGAAGATGATGAGTAAGACGAGGTCAAATATGTAGAAGGATACATCTCTGAAAAGTGGCCACCAGGTTAGATGGAGCACCTCCCGTGAAAACAAAGCACACATCCCAATCACAAACAAAATGTTGAAAACCGCCGAGCCAACGATGGTGCCGATGCCCACATTGCTGTGGGCGATGAATACTCCTATCAAGGAGGTGAAGAGTTCAGGAGCAGAACCTCCAGCAGCCATGAAGGTGGCTCCTGCTACATCATCAGAGATTTCTAACTTGTCTATGATTACCCCGAGTGCAGGGACAAAGAACTCATCACACACAATTGCAAGTGAAATGAACATGTACATCATCCCAAAAATGTGGAGGATGACCCAGCCTCGTCTACGGTCTTCAACAGAAAAGATATCTTCAGGGTATTCGCCCTTCATATGTGGAGCTTCAGCAGGAGAGGCTGGGGTGACAGTGGTCACAGGAAGAGTTGGTGTGGGCGTCTCCCGTGGAGGCTCAGGGGCCACGTAGATGCAATGCACAATAGTCCGGTTTGTAGTTGGCAATGGTGGAGCTTCAGTGGAGGTGGATGCTGTAAAATCTGTAGTTGTCTCCGACACAGTTACCACATGCATTTCTGGAGTTGTTTGATCTGTGGGCTCTAACTCGTGTGTTGCAGTGAGAGGTTCCTCCAGCCCCGGAGTCTCTACTGTCGCCTCCTCAACACCCTCTGTTGAACCTTCTCCAAAATCCTCCCCAATCTGAGGCATTGGCAAAGGCTCATACAGTCTGGCACTGATGGTCAGCTGGTAGAGGGTACAGAGAAAAACCCCAGAGAGGAGAAACAGGACCCTGCTAAGCTGCAGTCGCTTCCTCCTTGTACAATGCATTTTCCTCCAGAGCAGTGATGCTACTTGCTATGGAGAATTAAGCTGCATGAAAGGGCTTTGGTTGAGGACAAGTCCAGCTCTCTCCCCAGCAGACCATGGGGTGACACAATCTAAAACTTCAGCGGCGTGATTCATGTCATCCTCACTTCCTTGCAAAGCCCAGCCTATTGAGAATGAAAAGAAACATCGGAGACAAAATGACATTTAGAAAGCACGTGGTACAACAGTAGTGTCTGTTTGAAAGCATGTTACATATTCAGACAAAGCATCTGATTATTAAATAAACAATATCTGTCATAGCACTTCTGACAAGCCCATTTAGAAGCTGTTATGGCTGCTTTCTTTGCAAATTGGTGGTTTCTCCAAAACAGAACAAAAAATGTTAGGGCTCAAAAAATGAGTGACAGACGAATATAATTGACAAATAAAAAATAAACATAAAAAGACAAACTGCATAACAACTAAAATAAATATCGTGTAGTGAGGAGTCAGGCTAATTACCACATAAATCAAAAAAAGGAGAAACAACACAATGCATTTTAATCCCAGGTGCAGACTTACCAGAGAACTGATGTCTTGCAAAGGGAGGGATGCAAAAATCTCCAAAAGCAGGTTTCCACAGCTGGTTATTGTGGCACAAGTAAAAGTCCAAACTGTTGCCAGTGGCCAGGGGGTTATGTAGGACACAGGACGAGTCTTCACAATGGATCAGCATAATACCTAATAGCCTATCTGAAGACTTCTAAGAGGATTACGTGCATTGTCCCACTCTCACTTTATCATGAGCCTATACCTTACTAATATTTATATATTATAATATAATATATATGCAAAATAAGAGTGGTGCTTTGGTTTAATGCTATTTTGCTGCACAGCTATAGCATAGAAATAATCTTATGATGACTGACACTTGGAAATAATACTGATGATATAACCAAACATGACAAGTTGAAGTGGAATTTACTTTATAGTCCTGCCAAAAATGTATAATGTGAATAAGCCAACAGCAGTATTGTTGAAATTATGGCGTCCTCTGGTGATCTTTTTTGTGCCGACTGTCTCAGCACAGCAATATGAAATATCCCATTTAAAGTGTGGACCACATAGGATCTATTTATTCTAAGCCGGTGCACTGCTTTCACCCGGACGGAAGTAGTGATGCACACCATATATTTATGGCTTGAATAACGTTAATGCTGAAAGGAGCACATACTTTCAGTCGACTAGGAGTAACTTTGCTAGGAATATTCCTAGGACAAAAATGTGGTCACTGCCCAATAAATATTTCAGTACTAATAAGGTAAGAGAGGTGTCCCCTGGAATTATATAAAAGTTTTACCCTGCAACGAAATTTATTTATTTTATTTTTTTTTATCCTTGGCATCGTACTCTGGAAAATTATGGGAGGATGCTCCAAATTTATTGTATACATTGTATACAAAGGATTTGCATTATTTTATGAGCATGTTATATTAGGATTTTTTTGCCTATATGACAGGAAACTTGAGGAAAAGGCATTTATCACAAATCTAATAATTATTTTTGCCATATTTTATTTTTCTAAGTGTAAGTTAACAATTCAAAGGCCCCTGTTTTTTCTCTTTTTTTTTAAACAAAGATTCAGAAACTTACATTAATAATCGTGTACCAATAAAAAGGCCATTAAAACTGCACTGGCATGCTAATTAGAAATAGAAGGAAATGTGGTATAAGCTGTTGTGAATTAATCTCTTAGAAAAATCTTTGGACTTTGCACCTTAGATTTTATAATATATACATAATTGTTTTTATTTTATTTTATTTTCGTTTAGTTTAGTTTAGTTTAGTTTCAATTTATTTTATTTTATTTTATATATTTTATTATTCTGCCTAAACCCCTTGACATGTTTGTTTGATTTTGTTCTCTGGTTAGTCTTCCTGTCAAAATGAGCAATATGTGCAATTTGCTCTGTAAGGTTTATAAAATAAAAATAGAAGAGTATATATAAAACCTATATTTTCAGTTGGACTTATTGAAAGTTGTTCGCTTTGACTCATCCAGTATTATTATTATTTGATCAGTCGGTCCTCTAGTCCTGTCATGAAGCGAGCAAATTAGGAACTATTTATTGTGAAGTACACTGTTGTTACCCGGACCGAAGCAGTGGTGCACATTACAACACAAACACTGGATGGCAAACGAGACGTTGAATGGCACATATTTGTTTAGTTTTGTCATATTAATTACTTCCTTCACAGTTAAACTTATGGATAGTTGTGTTCTCACATTTGTTAAATAGAAACCAGAGCATTTATTCCGCTGGGTCTGTTGGTGTTACGGTACAGAGTGCTAGCGTAAGTTAGCTTAACAGCTAGCCAACATTAGCTAAGTTCTCTGTTGTAACAGGTTTTCTTTTTTAGCTTTTACGTCGTTAATGGTCGCTGTTTGTTAACAAGCCCTTCAGTGACATGAAGAAACGTCACGTATCATTTCGTTAGTTAACTTCTTATCTTCTTTATTCCTTTCCTTCAGTGGGAGCACATCGGAGGGTGATTTAAGTCCATTGTGTTTTGGTAACATAAGCAGTAAACAATGCCTACCGTGGTCTTAATGGACGTGTCTCTGTCCATGACACGGCCAGTGTCTCTGGACGGCAGCGAGGAGTTTCAGAGGAAGAACCTGGCTGTCCACGGATTAAATATGTTGTTTGAACACATGGCCTCAAACTACCGCTTGGAGTTTACATCCCTGATGGCCTTCTCTTCCCTCTGGGAGCTCTTGGTGCCTTTCACCAGAGATTACAATGCATTACAGGTAAGAGGTGCTTCACATGCGAATGCAGTCTGAAAAAAAATCCAAGTATATTTTCTTCTCCTGAGTCACTACCTGAGTTTGAGCTCAGAAAAAAACGACATCTGACATTGAAGAAGAGTTGGGGATGATCTGATTGATGTATTCTTCTGTGCAGGAGGCTCTGAGCAACCTGGAGGACTATGACAAGACCTGTATTGAATCAGCTCTCAATGGAGTTAGTAACGTGGTACAGCAGGAGTGGGGCAGTGCCTGTCCCTGCCAGGTAATTTGGCAGGTCTTTTACACAATATCATCACACCTCCTGAATTTATCATTGGTTAAATAAAGCTTGTGTGCAGTTAGATAATTTTTCCATAGTGATTTCAGCCATCTGTACCCATTTATTGTAACACAGGGTGATATTAATGTCCCTTCTTTATATATCCTATAGGTGGTGCTGGTTACTGATGGATCTCTTGGTATTGGAAAGGGTTCCCTCCGTCACTCCCTCCAAACACTGAAGCATCGTGCTGATGACAAGAAGTTCCCACTTCCTTTCCCTTTCCCTACCAAAATGTTCATCATGGCTGTAGCCAATGCAGAGGAGGTACAGACAGAGTCAAAAACTAATTTATATTCACTTGCATCTTGATCTGAACATAGACAGGACCCTGACACTATGCAACCAGAAGCAACTGACCTTAAACAAGATCTAAGTTTATGGCTTTTACTGGGCCTCAATGTCTAAGATATTGTCAAAGAAATCTTAGGAGGAGAGAATGGCAGTTTAACAGTCGTTACTACTTTGTCAGTGGCTGTGATATTATATTGACTCACAGAGACTATAGTGGTTAAAGGCTATTTGTTTCACTGTCTAGTTGATGTAATCAAGACTGCAGTTTGGAGTTGTGCATGTATTGTTCCCTGAATTGGGATGTAAGTGATCTCCAGTGGACAGAAATGCCTGCATATCCTTTTACAGTTGTTTGAGAGAGTTACTATGACAATTGCAAATCAGGCAACATGGGTTTTGCATGCCTAAAGAAATTATTTACTTTGCATTCACACATTTAAATGTTTTAACTGTAACATCAAAACATGAATACAACCTCATAGCAGCATTGAGCACATTAGGTTTATTTGTAATTTTGTCAAGCAACAGTTTCCTCTTGGGCGCCTGGTAGGCATCTACATAAAATTAAAGCTTATGACAAGTTAGAAGCTAGCTGTTACCAATGCAATCCCTTGCCTTGTGTAATTGCAGTTACAAATGACTGATGCCATGGACAACTTGGAGGAGCTACTACGTCTAAGCGGAGGTGACGGACAGATCTTCACCATGGAGGGACCACTTTGCATGAAGAGTGTACAGGCTATGTTTGGGTATGACTCTTACTGAGGAAAATAATTTATTTGTCATGATTGATGTGATTACTTGGGAGCCTTTGGTCATTGTATGTCTTTGTATATCCTCAGGAGGCTGATTGATCACGCATACTCTCCCTTCCACGCTGTCCTGCACTGTGGGAACTTGTCCTCAGATGTTCAGGTGTTCCCTCGGCCTGAGCCTGTTGTGATGGATGAAGAGGTGGAACCCATTCCACGTGCAGTCAATACAGGTACCCAGGTGCATTCAAATTTCATGATTCAGAGTTAAAGTAAAACAATTAATTTGTTAACACACCTCTATTCTGTCATACTTGTTTCAGATTTGGAAATTGTGGGCTTCATTGAAGTCGCTGACATTTCAAGTCCTCCTGTTATATCCAGACACTTGGTACTGCCTATTGCTGTAAACAAAGGTCAGTGTTAAAAACATTGCGTTGTTTTACAGAAAAACTAAACATCCTATAGACAAATAAGCTGTATAGTCTAGGGCTCATTGCTTTTGTTGTAACTGATTTTCACAGTAAATATCATGATTTTCATTAAAGGAACGGATTGATTTAAAGGATGCATGCAGGATGCATCATGTCAGCATGTCTCCACACTCGAGAAGTTGTTCCCTGCTTTAAGAAAACACTGTTCACTACAGTTTACAATCATCCATATCCTTTTGCAACAAGGACAGTTCAGATTGTGCATCAAGGGGAAAAAAATAAAGAAGATGTAGACAAGC